TGTAGTAATTTAACAGGAGAAAAAAAACCCTCAGAAAAATAGCATCAGAAAAAAAGGGAGGACTGGTCTGCATGTGGCGGTACAAAATGGAATAAAGCCCGACATCAACATGGCCGAAATAGATGTCAGCTGTATATGGCATTGTGTAACGGATTTCATAAAATGGTACGTAGGCGGGTCGGTCAGGACTGGCCTGTATCGCTTTGAATAAGAAAAATAAGTGCCGAAATTGAAAACCAGTCTCGAGCTGATAGGAACCCAGATGCGGTCAGTTTCATTCAACCGAGTCCATCCGAACATGGGGGGAGATGCGACCAGACTACTAGTATATGGCGAAGATAGAAGGCTTTGACAAGACCGCCGATGGAGCGCATTCTGTAAGGGCATGATGACAACCAGTCTTGAGGCGACAAGAACCCAGATGCGGTCGATTTCATTCAACCGAGTCCATCCGAACATGGGGGGAACATGGGGGGAAGGGAGATGCGACCAAACTACTAGTATATGGCGAATATAGAAGGCTTTGTCAAGATCGCCGATGGAGCGCATTCTGCAAGGGCACGATGACAACCAGTCTTGAGGCGAAAAGGACCCAGATGCGGTCTGTTACATTCATCAGAGTCCATCCGAGGATAGGGCAAATGAGATGCGACCAGATTACTATTATATGGCTAATATAGAAGGCTTCGCCAAGAGCATCGATGAAGCGCATTCAGTGAGGGCATCATGAAGATCAGTCTCGAGGCGATAGGAACCCAGATGCGGTCGGTTACATTCATCCGAGTCCAACCGAGGATGGGGGAAGGGAGATGCGACCAAACTACTAGTATATGGCGAATACAGAAGGTTTCGCCAAGAGCGTCGATGGCGTGCATTCTGTGAGGGCACGATGCATGAACTAAAAAATTCACTCGTGAAGATGCAAAAGGAGGCACCCTCCCATTCCTAGACGTGAGCATACAAAAGCTCAGTGACGGCGGCATCGCAACAAGCGTTCATCGGATAAGCTCTAACGCTGAGATCATCCTGAGCTATCAGAGTAACCACCCAGCAGCCCATAAAAGAAGCTGTGTTCGGACCCTTTTCCACAGGGCCTATCGTTACTGCAGTAGCGCCGATTTACTCAAAGATGAATTGGCCTACTTGCATCGCTTTTTCCGACTCAACGGATACCCGGCGAGCTTTGTGAAAAATTGTCCCAGACGTCAACAACAACCACAAAATGTCGACTCTAACGGAGACAGAGTATCACGGAAATTCTATTCCCTGCCCTACATGCCGAGAATTTCCGAAGCGATCGCTCGACAATTAAATCGATTCGGCATCTCCATCGCCCACAAACCGGCGTCTTCATTGCGCACGACATTATCCCGGGTAAAAGACCCCATACCGAAGGAGCAGCAAACAAATGTCATTTACCGCATTCCATGTTCAAACTGCTCTAGTGTTTATGTTGGGCATACCGGCCGACGACTTGGGACCCGCGTTAACGAACATAAGCTGGCCATCCGCCGACGGGACCCCTTGTCTCTCGTGTTTGCGCACTCCCTTGAGTGTGATCACCGCTTCAACTGGGAGGGGACCGAAGTGATCGCTAGTGCCAACACCAAACAAGCGCGAGAGTTTCTAGAAGCTTGGCACTCTAATAGCAATAGCATCAACCGCCATGTCGACTTGGACGCTCAATATGAAGGCTTACGTTCACGGTTCGCCGGTTTGCGCCCACCCTAAGCCACCTACTGCTAATACATGTTCGGCCATGTAGAATATCATGGATTCAGCACCTCCCCCACAGATTGAACCATGTGTGAAACCCCCAACACCACCCCTTACGTCCGCCACCTATCCAAACACGTTCTTCACCCCCACACATAAACGCCTGTCTGGTCGATGTGACCTCGATGTCCCCCTGCCTCCCCAGTGGGATAATCTCCCTCACACTTTTCATTTTCGTCTGACGACGGGTTGGTGTAACCGACTTGAAAATTCACGAGTATACCTCGATCCTTGGTCATGGAGTTGAACGCTCTACCATTGAGCCACGGGCCCGTTGTCCTGTCGGTTGTGATCGGGAATATTAATTATGATAGTGGGCGCTCACCGATCAGGTTACGGAACATGCTCGTTCCGTTGTGCCTTGGGGCTCATACTTAAACCCTCGCAGGCAGTCGCACAGCGACTAGTGATATATGTTGAGAAGGTGATACCGACAAAGACAAGGGAGACCGGTGAGCGCCCACTATCATAATTAATATTCCCACCAGAAGGATCGCGGTTCAATACATCACCACTCCAGCCGATTCTACAGCACCGAGAATCCCTACCCTTATTGGGACTGAACGCTTACATTGGGCTTCGGCCTGGTCGGACATTTGCGAATCCATCACACAGGGACCGACGAACCGGTGCCGAGTGGCGCAACATATATCAGACGCTTCCGCTTTAACTGTCCACAATGTTCATGCACATCCACTCACCGCATAGATATATTCGGTCGCGTCAGTCTTAATAGAAATTTATATTAAATCACCGCAGACATACTAAAATGATCACTTATCCCCGTTAACACATGCAACCCGCATACACCCCTCCCAAATTCCATATCACCGGCATCTTTTATGTATGTTGGAAGTGTGTTTTTCCGCCTCTATCTCCGTTTCTCTTCTTTGCCGAATGTGAGATCCGAGCGTTCATCTCCCTTGTGTGTAGTCCTGATTTGCGTGTTTCGTGGTTAGGTCGTGCACATGGGGTGCACTGACTGGCTCTCTAGCATAGTCAGCCACTGTGCCATCTTTAGCATCAAAAACTGGCCGGTTTAGCCAAAAGACTTATGTCTGTAAATGGGAAGAGAGAGTGAAATTGACGTTTCAGCGCACCTTCGTCATTATAAACAGTCCGACGCGCTTTACGCTATAGCGGTGAGCCAAAATCCGTGTCATGGAAAGTTGCCAACTGAGGGGATAACTCATATCTGGGTTGAATCCATCCCGTTCTTGTTTCAGGTCACTCAAGTCTGACCCAGCGGTAAGATCAAACAAGCCGGACGATAGTCCAGGGAGATCTTTACCACAATTATGAACTCTACTAACACACCAGCCTGTAAAATGCAACTAAACAATGTTGATGATAATTATTCATATCCCACTGTTAGCCTGACTTCCCAAATAATAAAGCCTTCTCATGATGTAAACTGTTTTTCGAGGCCGCATAATCCGTTACCTAACGTAAATTACCCCTAATATTATGCTTAAAATTCACAAAATCCTATTTTCTAACTCCTCTTTGTCCAACCCCACGAATTAGCATTCCTCTTCATGGTGTCGGCCCAAATTTATTTACATACAATGCTGCAAACCTAGTTAGTGGTAATATCCCCAGAAATTTCAGACAACAGAAACTATGTTTTTCCCCTTTTACTTCTAATCTACAGCCTAATTTTGGACTACCAGCTCGGCGGTCGCTATAGATAATCTCAGCTTATACCGACGGGACCGTGCTGAAAAATGTGATGTTGATTACCTTTTTATATTATAGCCTCACATTCTCATTCGCCTTGTGGCCTGAACATTTCTTCTTCCTCTGAAAAAAAAATAATATAATCTATGTTACGCTTCGATAATCCTTCCGCAATATAGGAAAGCCTTAGTCGGATGTGTATATAATCTCCCTTGTTTTTATGGAAATTAAGGCCAACTCTGTGAACTGTTTGCAACATTTGCAGAGACCTCGTTCGATGTCAAGATAATCGTAGGGGATTATAACTTGCCAGAAATTGACTGACTCACACTTCCGCTCCTAAATTCCAGAAGCTTCTAGACACCATTCACCTCTTAAACTTGTCTCGATTAGTCCACTCTTCGACCAGAAACGGTAGCGTAATTGATTTAATATTTACTAATGGCATCTTCCCTCTATCTATGGATTTCCAACGTGACCTTTTTGCAAGTGCTCATGCATTAACTAATTTTTGTCTTCCAGTTGCCATTTCCGCAAAGTTAAAATTATAACTTATTTTTTCTGACAATACCAAAGTTAGCGAGCTATTTGAAAATACTCTTACAATCACTCTTGACTGGCTCAATATTTATTTTCAAATAATGATCTAAATATTTCAACTATTTATTAAGTACCCAACAGAAGGTATTGTCAACTAAATTTCACAGATGACGTTTAAATCAAGTGTCGCTTCCACTGCTGTCCCAAACTTTCTTAAAAACAGACTCTAGATATTAATGACGTGAATGCTTCTAAATCACTTGCTCAGATCATCCGTCAAAAATCATTTACTACGTCTCACCAAGTCATTCCGTCTTTGCTTAGTTACAATGATGCCTTCATTACAGAGGAGTCAGGCAAAGCAGAAATGTTAAATTCATTCTTTGCCAAACATTTCACCATTGAAACTGACTCACTTCCTTTAATTCCTCCGTTGTCTGATGCCTCCCTCAGCATTCTTAATTTTGCTCCTGCAACTATTCAAAAATTAATAAACTATCTTCCTAACTCTCACTCAGTAGGTACGGACAATATCCTAAAGTCTCTTATAAAACAGCTAAGAGATTTTCCTCCTCTGCTTAGCAAACTCTTTTCAGTCTTTCTCGTAACCGGCTTCTTCCCTGACTATTGCAAAACCTCTATTATTATTTTTATTATTATTCCAGCATTTAAATGCGGTTGTCGTTCTGATACTCAAAAATATCGAGGTGTCCATAAAAATCCTTCGCTCGTCGAAATGTCTGAAACAATTATCGACATGAAAAATTACCGACTTTTGCATAGCCAGTCAAGTTATTAGCTCTTCCCAACATGGCTTTTTACCAGATCGCTCTTGTGAAACATGTCATCTGTCGTTTTTCATTTCGCCTACTTCTCTTCGCAATGGCCATCTATCTGTAGTCGTTATTTATTTTGATCTTAGTAAAGCCTTTGATAACTGACTTTATCAAGTCGTAAACAAAGGGTTTAAGTGGGATCTTCATTTTTAAATGAGAGTCTTATGGTTAGTAGTATCCTACAAGGTTGATTTGCAGGCGTTTCAGGGAGGACTTCAGGGTATCCTTGTAACGGCGAATCTGGCCTCCTTGACGGCGAGAACCCGTCGCGACTTCTCCGTAGAAGAGTCGTTTGGGTAGTCGCTCGTCGTCCATGCGCACCAGGTGGCCGCTCCAGCGCAGCTGCATTTGTCTCAGTATGGCGTAGTTGCTGAGGATTCCCGTCCTATCCAGCACATCAGTGTCGGGGATTCGATCCTGCCAGTTCAGCCGCAGGATGCGACGAAGACAACTGAGGTGGAAGTGGTTCAGACGGAGTGCCTGCTTTGCGTACAACGTCCAAGTCTCCGCTCCATACAGTAGTGTCGGCAGGATGACGGCCTTGTACATCTTCAGCATCGTGCTCAGCTGAAGACCGTGGCGATTCCAAACTGTGCTTTGGAGGCAACCGAAGGCTTGACTGGCTTTTGAGATCCTGTTGTCGACTTCGTCGTTGATCTTGGTGTTGCGGGAGAAGGTACTGCCCAGGTATGGGAAGTTCTCCACCACTTGCATTTGGGTTCCGTTCACGCTGATTTGCGGCGGCGCGCTGAGGGCTGTGGCTGAGTTGGGTGGCGGTTGGTGCATCACCACCGTCTTCTGCGTATTAATGACCAGACCGAAGCTTTCGCAGGCGGCGGAGAACAGGTCAATGCTCCGTTGCATCTCCTCTTCCGAGGTAGTGTCCAGGGCGCAGTCGTCGGCGAAGAGGAGTTCGTGAACGGTGGTTGTGGATACGCGCGATTGGAAGTGCATCCGCCGTTGATTCAGGAGGTCAGTCGACCATGACAGCCACCGCACCCATTTCCCAGTCCAGTCTGCCGACCGGCTCGGACAGCGGCTGGGGTGTGGGAGTGGGAAGGGAGAGTGAGGTCGACGACTCAGCGCACTTTCTTCTCACTATAAACAATCTGACGCGCTTGAAGCTATCACGGTGCGCTAAAAGCCGTGGCTTGGAAGGTTGCCAACTGACGGGGTAACTTGGACCTCCTCCTTCACTGGAGGCGGTCTGAGAGTCAGGCTGCAATGGCTCCTTTTTAATGTGGCCTCTATGGCACTCCCACCACAGTGTGGGATCCCAGCCAGGCGTTGGCGGCACGCCTAGGTGCGGCTTCGGTCGTGCCAGCTTCCAATCTCTGTTGTGTTGGTTGAAATCCTGGTTATTTGTTGTGTGGACCAGGAGGTGTGGTGGAACGCCAAGGTGAGGATCCGTCCGAGCCATCCACCTGCGGCCTCCCTCGTCTCCGGTCTTCTTGACACTGTCCTGACACCGGGCTCAGGCGAGGGAGGAGGAGAGAGTGTAAGTAGGTGCAGCGCAAGTCTACTGGCACTATAAACCCCTGCGCAAGTCACCGTCCCTGCTCCAACCTGCTGTGGGGCATACGGTGGACATCATCGAAATCGATGGTCGACCTGTCAGTATCCTACAAGGTACCGTCATAGGTCCTCTTTTGTTTCTGCTTTACTTAAATGATATCTCGTCCGGTTAACCATTTTCAATCATTTATTTATGCTGATGATTTCTAATGTGTATATTCATTCAATAAATCTACTACCCTTCACTGCCTGAAGAAAATCCATGCTGACTTGCTCGCTCTCTCAGCTTGGAGCACAAAATGACTATTGGAATTCTCTCCGTCTCTATGTCGCAATGTGTTTTGTATCTGATAGGCTACTTCAGCCAGTGGTCTTTCAAGACGCACACATGACGGAATGTACCACCATAAAGGATTTAGGTTTAAGCTACACCAATAACCTTGATCTCTCGCCTCACGCCGACAGAATTACAGCCAAAGCTGCCCAAATATGTGGCTTTATTTCTTACAATTTCTATCTTCCCAAAATTAAATTAGAACTTTATTGAGTGTTTGTTCCTGCCGATTCTTTGGCTAAATGAACGAGGCTTTTCGCTCGTAAATTGAAAATGCTCAAAGACATGTTACTAGAAGACTCTTAGTTTCGGAGCGTCTAAATACCTCCTATTCAGATAGATGCCAGATAACTAACCTAAAAGTTTATGAGTTTGAAGACTAGAAGCAGGCTTCTGTCTCCTTTTTCGCATTAATAATACTTTAACTCTTCCTCAAATTTCAGAACTTATCCCTTATAGCCGCCAATGTAATTTTCGCAATTCTTTCTTGACCTATATTGACCTATAAGAGAATGCTGCGCCATTAACTGAATACCGACTCGAGTTAACTTTCATTTTGTTCACGCTTTCCAAACAACGTTCTCTATGACATTGAGAAAGGGCCATTTGGAATTTAGGATATCGCCACTAAACTTCCGTGTCCGCTCCTGTTTCGTTCTCTTATGTGTAGTTTCGCTTCCTAGTATCCTTCACCAGAAATTTTAATTTTTTCTATTTTTCACTTTCTGAGTCGTGCCCCTCAGAGTATGCGATATCCTTCCTGGCAAATTCTCTCAAAGAAATAACGTGACTAGGTTGACGTGCGCGCTCTAAACCGCTTCAGTTTCGCTGATCACTAGCACACATCAGAATCCCAATCTGATCCCCATGATTTCGAATCCTCACCCCACAGATCTTGATGTCAGCTCCTCATTTCGACCCAAAATGGTATTTTGACGTTCACAGCGTTAATCCTATGCCTTCGCCAATAGTGAGTAGTTTGGTCGTGTAGTGAAGAGGTCTGGGGGTCGCATTCTCCCCTCTACGCTCTGATGACTACACTCATTCGCCTCAATCGCTTTTAGTCAGTTGACACGAAACACCTATATCTTTCGGTCATATCTAACTGAACGCAAAGTCACCTGAGCAACAAGCTTTAGTAACTGACGGCGTCCCGGCTTTTACCCAGAACATTCACTCTATGGCGACGGATTTTGGAGAGGACGTTATTTATTGCGAGCCCGTAAAATTATTTATCTTTTGCCGTTTTTCCTATATTATTTTTGCTATCGATATTTTTCGTTTTGATTACCGTCTTCACCTCAACTGTGGCCTCTACGACATTCCCATTCCGTGGGATCCGAGCCGGATATGGCGGTATTCCTAGGAGCATCCCCGTCTGTACCAGCCTCCTGTGCCATTTCCTACCGCCGGTTATCTTGACTATATCGTGAAACCGGGACCAGGTGAGGGAGGGAGAGAGTGCAGTAGATGCGGCGAAAGTCTACTATCGCTATAATCCAACTCACGCGTAAGTTGCCACCTCCGCTTTCGTCCTGACGTGGAGCGCACAGTGGACATCGACGAAATCGATGAGAAAACTATTATTGTTGTATCCAGTTGGTCAAAGTTTGGAATTAGTAATAATAACAATAATTTTTATTAAGGATCCGTCGGGGTCCCATCAAAGCAAGTAAAAATAAATTTACATGCGAATTTTAGGCGAGGTAGGCAGAATCTGTACAAAATGCAGTTCATAGTTTATGAATTAGTAGTCCGTTGAGAAAAATGACTAGCGAGAGGTGAAAAAAGCTCCACACAAAATGTAAAAATGATTGGATTAATTTTACAGGAGAAAAAACCCTCGATAAAAAAAATAATAACAGAGCAATGCGGGCAAGACTGGCCTGTATGTGGCGGTATATAACGGATTAAAATCGGACATCGTCAGGACAGCAAGAAATGTCAGCCTTGAGGGGTACGTATGCGGGTCGGACAGGACTGGCCTGCATGTGTTATTGTATACGGGATTCAGAACAAACATCGTCAGGGCAGAATTGATACGCCGGATGAGACTATTCGCGTCAAAGAGGCCAGACGAGAGGAATCCAGGCGCTTTCGGTCACAGTCCGCTTCGAGCCCAACCGAGGAGTGGGGCAGGGAGGTACGACCAAACTACTAGTAAACGGCGAATACTGAGGTTTCTGCCTTGAGCTTCGACAGACCACATGAGGTCGAAATGCGGGAGCTAACATCAAGAACCACGAAAATCGTCGCTGCATATGGCATTGTATAACGGATTTCATGAAGGGGTAAGTAGGTGGGTCAGGCAGGACTGGCCTGTATGTGGCCTTGAGTAAAAGGTTCGAAATGGGTATCATCAAGGCAAAATTCATATGCCGGACGAGGCCATTCATGCAAAGTGGCGAATTGAAAAACAGTCTCGAGGCGACAGGAACCTAGATGCGATCGGTTACATTCAGCCGAGTCCATCCGAGAAGGGGGCAGGAGAGATGCGACCACACTACTAGTGTATGGCGAATACAGAAGGCTTCGCCAAGAGCGTTGATGGAACGCATTCTGTGAGGGCACGATGCATGAAATGAAAAATTGGAAAAATTAACAGTTCTGGTGAGGTATCTTAGGAAGCGATACGACTCACAAAAGAAGGAAATGTGAGCAGAAACGGAAGGTTAATGACGGCGTCCTAAATTCCCGGTGACCTTTTTTCAGTGTCATAGAGAAAGTTGTCCAGGAATTCTCCACGACCCCGTCGCAAGTGTTTCTTATCCCACTTTTGTTACCCTCTTTCAAGCATGATCACTGTTCTGTTAATTAAAATGCTTTATATTCTGACCTTGAACTGGGTATTCGATTTAATCGAGCATTGGTAAATGAATTCTTTGGCCAGGGTATCCATTGTTGAATTTTGTCAGTTTTTCACTATTACCTATATTCTGCGAATAGTACCGTGTATGCACCGGAATCTGTTTTTGACTTATATGCGTCGCTCAGATTCGCAAAGAACTCTGCAATTATTATTATTTTCACTTTCCATTTTCTGTCTCCTCGTCTTGTGTATGCATAGACCAAGATACACAAAACAGTCACCTTCGGTTTTTGGCGGCGCGTGTGCTGATTACGATGTCGTTTAATGTTAATTGTCCGTAAATATCTCTTATGTGCCTGAATCCGTTCTAATCAAGCGCGGCAAACATGTGCGATTTACTACTTAATCGCATCTTGTTGGGCGTGGGTTCATCCGAGTACTAAGCACTATTAACAAATGAAAGCGAAAGCCCGAGTTCCAGGTGTAGGCGAGAGCCAAGACTTATTGCAGAAAACCGGAGGAAAGAGCAAGTGCGGCCCGTTATCTCCGTGACCAGTTTGTGCAGCAGGGCTATCCGAAGGCACTCATAAGTCGCCGCCTACGCGATCGCCCCAGAGGACCCAAGCATTAACAGAAACAACGACATGGCATGCTCCGCATACGTTAAGGACGTCTCAGAAGCAACCCTTCTACTTAACTATTAACAAAGACCAGCTGGAAACTTTTCGGAATTTCCCAAGAAGACATTGTACAGGTCCTGCATTACCGATTTTGCGTTAAAGGCGTTAACCTGTGTTAATTCGTGACATTTCATGAGTTAGCACAGGTACTGTATAATCCTTCATAGTTTCAGTTATTGTTTACAACTGAATTCTGTACATTCATTTCTATCACTATCATATTAGTTTGTTTTTTCGATTTTTGAAAACGGTTAGCTCGTACGTTTGCCAGCCAAACGCTACTGCTAGGGCAAATATCGTCCGTCTGATTTGTATACATAATATTAACAATTGAAAAGTCGAATTGGCGAACGCACGTTTTCGGTAATTCTTCCTCAGGCCAATACAATTACATGAACAAATGAAAATGTACAAAATGAACAGTGTTTATAGATGCCTCAAGGGCTATTAAGTCACTAACACTCATCATCCCCACGCCGCCCGCATGAGAAGGTCGGCGGGTGTTAGTCGTCAGAGCTAGGGGAGGGGGGTAAGGGAGTCTTTGAGTAATGATCTTGGGTTGAGTACACGGAGTACCCATCATCGTGATTAGGGATTTGAGGCGGTATGGCTTCATCGCTTGGGGTTGGCGTTGGCCACGGCAGCGAAAGCGCTTGTGTCAGAGTTTTCTGACAGCATAACACCGGATTCACTAACCGTATAGCTACTGCCTCTGCCGTTGCTAGTATCCGTTGGCGTAGGCCTTTAGAGAAGCATGTTGGTGTCCGGTAGACAACCTGAAATGCTTTCTTGGCATCGACTCGGTGGTTCGTATCGATTAAATGCGCGAGAATAGAACTCGAAATCGACCGGGTCTCACCTCTGTCTAGCCAGGCGGGCATATGTTCACGCACCCTCTTTACCAGGCGTCTCGTTGTGCGGCCGATGTATCCTGCTCCACAGGAGCAAGTGAATGAATAAATGCACATTGATGTGGCCTCCAACGGTAGTCTGTCTTTACCTCCCAAACGTAGGAGGGGAGAGTTTGTGAAGCATACGCGTAAATTCGCCGCAGGGAATGCCCTCGTGATAGCTGTAGTTAAGCGCCGTCGGACTAGTTCGCTCTTTGCGTCTCCTCTAAAAGGCAATCTTATGAATACATCTTTCTTTTCCGCAGTCGCAACAGTGGGCTTTTCAACGCGTTCCCCTTAACAGTTTTAAGGTTTCAAGAATTCCCATGGAGCAATACAGAAGGGTACTTGGCAAATATACATGTACTTCGATAAATTATTATTTGACCAGCACATTTATATTGGAAAGAGGTACAAAGAAATACACGTGAGCGATAAGAGAAATCCATTACGGCCCGTATTTTCATACAAGCGGGAAGTGTGAATAGGTGAGAGGGGGGAGAGGAGGCAGTGGGTGACAGTGAGGGTTATGTGGAGCCGTGTCTCATTGGTGGGGGGATGGGAGCGCGAAACATGCATCCACTTAATTGATCCTTGCCCACGGTAGACGCAGAGCATGCAAGAGGTTCTTCTGGGCGCACAGAACCGGCCTCCGCAGCCTGATGGCAGTCGCTTCTGATGTTACTATTAGATGCTGACGCTGTCGCTTAGAATAGTTCGGTGGGACCGTGGAAATCACACGGAAGGCTTTGTTTGGACACAGGATGCCCCGAATCAACCCTGTGTGCGAGGCTGGAGCTGTGTATGCTCTTACCTTCGCCCTTCCTTAGCCATGGCACCAGGTGTTTCTGTATTTTCCTGGATAGGCGTCCACCTGTTTGACCCATGTATCCTGGTTAACAGGAGCAAGTAAAGGAGTAAATGCACATGGAGGTGTTCTGGGTTGGTAGCTTATTCTTACCTTTCCCGCGTCAGATGGGTTTGGTTAAGAACAATGCCGGGACTCTTGCTGCCGAGAAAGTCCGTGAAACGGCTTGGTCAAGGCGTCTTCTTAGGAGTTTCCTCGTCACACCCTGCAGAGTGAGTACGTTGTGGAGCTGAGTTTTCCTTTCCGCTGTCGGTATGATGAGTTTTGATGGTCGTTCTGTATGATTCCTTAAAATATATCTGTTAGGTTACCAGTTCTGTCGAAGCATGTCCTGATATCTTCTAAGTTATTTATCAACGCTATCAGCCGAACAGATTTTTCTAGTCCTGTACACCAACCAACGGACAAGATTACGTTCCTGTTGAAGGGGTTCGAAAATGTGGAAGGTCGTACACCGCCCAGACAGACGCTTCTTGAAATGTTGTCGTCAGCTCTTCTGCTTAGAAGGACGTCTAGGAAAGACAGCGGACCAGCCGTTTCAACCTCCGACGTAAACCAGATTGACTAGTGTGCTTTATTTACAACGTCCAAGAGGGTTTTTCTGTTGGTTTCTTTGGTGAAAATTGCAAAGGTATCATCAGCGTGGCGGCCGCAATGCATTAGCTTACTGTAATTCTCCAGTTTGCCCATGAATAAGTGGGCTAAGGGAGGACCAAGAGGCGATGCCATATCAACTCCCTTTATTTGTCTGTATATTTAGCCGTCACAAAGAAAATGCACATTTTGTGAATTTTAATAGTAGTTCCTTGAGTGCGTTCATTGGAATAGCTATTTCCTGGTGTTTGTTTGACCGGAATTCACATATGTACTTCACTGTCTCTGTGATTGGAACGTTTGTGAGGAGTGATGAGACATCAAGTTAAGACATCACCATCCCCATTTGGTCTACGTTTTAACGTCTTCAATGAATTCGAGGGTGTTCCGATAGCTATGTGGTTCAAGTTTCTTTTCTAAGCACTTTGCATTCGCATGATAGGGAGAGTTGCGCATGTCCAAGATCGGACGGACCGGTAGGTCGTTCTTTGGCAACTCCTGTAGACCGTACAATCGAGAGATGTGTGTGCCTACTGGGCATAATATTTCGAGTTCGCGATCGCTTATGATGCCTCAGGCATGGAGTCTGCGTGGGCAGTCGGTTACCTGTGCATCTACTTCGTCCGTGCAATATTTTTCTTTGTCGGCTTCATTTAGTTCCTACTGGACTGTAATTTTCCCCAACACAATCCGGTCTATTCATCATAACTACGTCTATTACGTAATGTGATATAGTTACCAAAATGTTCCTGTTCTCTCTCAGCTGCTTTAACTTCTTATGTGAACTTTTGTCAGCAGTCCCCATACTTTTGTGCTTTTGCTTAGATAACGATAACTGCGACTCACTAATTTTTATTTCAAGTGTTAGACACTATCTGCAGAAATGGGCTTGAGATCGTTCGTCTGGCTCCAGAGATTCTCGAAATGTTTCTATGCCTAGCTGATTGGCTTTTCAACGAGGTACATGGAGCTTCGGACCAATAGACAGTGTTTCAAGTGATCTTTTATCGAAAGCTATAAAAGAATAATTATGTGCATACAAATGCATATCTTTTGGAAGCCTTGATGGTGGTTTCATTTCGCATATCCGTTTCACGAATGAAGATCACTTTGCTCCCCTTATCGCTTCCGTGTTTTACTTTGTATCTCGTGCCCATATAAATGTACTGACCCGATCAGAGTCTATCGAAAACCCGCATATGCTTATAGAAGCGAACAGGCGAGTTCCAGGTAGCAGTTCAGATGACGAAGATGCGACTGTCAGAAGATTGACCAATGGAAAGCAGGGTGCTGCGAGTACATGGGCGAGGTCGGCATAAAACGGCTTTAGTGGAGGCTGGTCGAACATAAAGCGACACGGGGAGCAGCCTTAAAGGGCAAATTTCGTAAGCTGCGTGCTCCAATTTCATCCAAAATCGACAAACTGGTGCGCAACTTGTCCTCAAAGGAGCCAATGGAGGAACAAGTGCAGGTGTTACGACATGAGGCCTCATTCAACACAGCCGATGCCAAATCTGCCAACAGGATTGCAGTAATGGAATCAATCACCATCTAAATGGGAGCCACAGACGAAACGAAGAACCTCATTCGACACAAAATGTCCTCCCTCCTCATGGCTCATAGGCCGCGCGACGTGCTTTCCAAGGTCGAGCGCGATGCACTTAAAGAACTCAGGGCAGACAACGACCTCGTTATAGTGCCTGCGGACAAGGGGCGTTCAACGGTCGTACTGGACAGGACAGACTACAATCAAAAAGCCAAAAGCTTGTTTGAGGATCGTCAGTCCTATGTCCCATGCGAATACAACTCCATAAAAACGTTGACACGCGAGATTAACGCGACACCGCTGGCAATGGAGAACTCAGGTGCAATATCGCCAATCGACCGACGCATGGCGAGAGCACAAGAAACGGCCCTAGCCCGATTCTACAGTCTCCTAAAAGTACACAAAGAGGGCGCTCCTTTCCGGCCTACCGCATCGCTAACGGGCACTCCAAGCTACGGCAGGGGCAAAGTGGCTGTTTTGACGTCTCAAGATTCTGACCTCCGATTCGAACACCACAGTCAACTCTTCAACACAGTTCTTAGATAAACTTAGAGGAATAAGTCTCCTGCCAAGCGATGTCCTGGTCTTCTTTGATGTCATGTCCCTTTTTACTTCTATCCCACAGGACCTGGCAGTCGAGACCATTGATCTACTTCTACGAGGGAAATACGACGAAACGGAGAATCGCCTCGGATACGCCCAAATAATCCAGCTTCTGAAGCTCTGTCTCATGACGTACTTTGCGCTCGACGGAACAGTCTATGTTTAGATGAAGGCAACGCCAATGGGTTTGTCGATTTCGATACTCATAGTTAAGGCGGTCATACAACGGTTAAAGTCGCTGGGTTTCCGACACCACAGACCGAAATTCTGGGCTAGGTATATGAATGACACCGTCGTCATCGAACGGGATCAGGTGATGGAATTCAAGAAATATCTCAACGTCATCTTCTCGGAGCTTCAATTTACGATGGAGGAGGAAGAAAACAAGCAGCTGGCGTTCTTGCAGCAAAGATTGTGGTGGTCTAAAAACCAAAGTGTTCAGGAAAGCGACAAATACGACACAAATACTGAACTTCAACAGTAACCACCCGACCAGTCACAAACACAGTTGCACAAGGGCGCTATGCCGGCGCATTGAGACGCACTGAGGTGAAATGGAAGGCAAGTTTGCTGAATCACAATATCTTCGACGGGTACTGAGAGCCAATGGCTACCCGTGCAACTTCGTCAGCCAGTGCATACGAAAACGACACCAGAGACCAAATCCAACCGGCCCCAAAATTTGGCGGGCTATCCCGTACGTGAAGAACGTCTCGGAAGCTGTCAGTCGTCTTCTCATTCCACTTGGAGTTGGGGTTGCACCCAGGCCAGAAGCAACAATCAGGCGCCAAGTCATGAGACCGAAAGACCCACTGCCTCCACAGGAAACGTTTGGAGTCGTTTACCGGATCTGGTGCAGTTGCGGACGAAGCAACTACGTCGGAGGAACTGGGAGATTACTCCGTATGCGAATTGCCGAGCACGCAGCAGCGGTGAGGCGGGGAGATGCTAGCTCTCAGGTGGCTGCTCATTCGACGGGACTCGGCCATATTTTCAAGTTTCAAGAGGCCGAAATCCTCACAAGGGGTGACAACCGCGAGAGTCGTGAGCTGCTTGAGTCATGGTTCTCAAGCCCGCAATCCATCAAAAAGCACAATGACCTCGCGCTACGGTATTCCGCGCTGAGATTTCCCCTAGGCTGTGGAATCAGTCACGTGGGGAGGGCGCGCGCGAGCAATTATCCCGGTGACAGTGAGCCAATTTTCCGAGCAATCCTCACACCAGCATCTAACACGGATGACGAAATCAGAGCGAGTACCAACTCGGACGCGGACTGACAAGCCACCGTCTTATCAATTACGACCCCAGCGATGATTGTGAGAGCTGTTAATTACAGTACGCATAGGGTCCCACAGCAGCCACTTGTTATAAATACTGCACTCCTTGAGCCACCATCGCCCTTATCTGCGGCTGTCTCTGCTGATGGCTTGGAGCGAGAATCCGAAACGTCAGGCCAGTAAATTTCCTGTTCCAGCGATCGCATGTTCGTTTTTTGAACGCATATGCCCGCCACATGAACCTCTGAATAATAACCGCATCGCCAAACGTCCTGGAACGGTCAGTGCAAAAACGCTGACAAAAGTCGCAAGATGTAGAGAGTAATGTGGGGTTTAAGCTCTGTGTAAACAACCAACTACATAATAAAACTTGAAAATTGTGCTACAAGAAATAAGAAAAGTTTTGACGTCCGCCAGCGACTTTTCTTTTCGCATATGATACTCATGATAATAACATCCCCAAACGACCCAAACTTGGTAGTTTTAGATAAGCAGACGAACTCTGGACGAGGAAGGCAAAAAAAATTCTAAATTAAAGGCGTAGGGATAATTCAGGGAGCCGAAACGTCGGCCAGAATTTTTAGAAGGAAAGTAAACCGCTTCGCAAAGTAATATCAAGTATCAGACTAATTCTCTCCTGGGGGTGGGAGGAAATTATAAACTCAGATTTGCAAGTGATCGCGCGGATGTCATTTTCGGCGGACCTGTGGTGAGACCGGCAATACGTGTAAGGTCACGATATCCCAGTGGTCAGGACGGAATCATGACGAAGAGGGAAGGCGGCCTAGAGCGTGTGGGTTAATTTACTCCCGACTGCTCGACTGAGAGGTGGGTTTGGAAGGACATCGCGTTCGCAGGTCACAATGCATAGGCAGAAGAGAAGGAAATTTGTGGCGAGAGTTCATGTTGTGCGAAACTACATCCGGGGAGAAAAATGCGGGTGAAGTCATAAGAGAAACTGCGCGGGGTGGGTGAGAATAAGAAAATAGTCGAGTCAGTTCACTCAGTTTACCAAGTAGATGAGGCTTTCGCCCTTGAACTTCCTATTCGTATCCAAAAGTAGCAACTTAATCAATTATTGCATCGGTACTTCGGGGAATTCAAAAGTTATCGGTATTTGTGAGCCAGACGCAAACTGCCGTTACTGTCACAATCGTGGTTATATGTACAGTAGTTTATCACCAGGTGGGCGTCTGGTCTTCATTTAAATGATTCGAAAGTTTAGGGAGGGGCAACCGCGTAATTATGTCCGTTCCATGCTCCAATGATCCTCTACAAGAAGGCGCTCGTCAGACGTCTGTTTGGAGGAGCTTTCCCTGCAGTTTAAGGGGATAGCCGTGCAACGTGCTGTCCCAGCCAATTCGACGAAGTCATCATAGTCTACAGCACACACACGGCTTTTGACGGTATGGTAGGTTTGAATGAGCTCGCCGCGCAGTTGCCTGAAATTGAAGGGGAAGAAAATCAAGCTCAGCCAGTCTAATTTCGTAAAGCAGGTTACCAAGAATCCTGACCATTTTCGCAGCCACCGTCTGTACCCTTTCCAGCTGCTGAGAATGCTTCCTGAGCCACAGTCGCCAGGCCTGGACGCTGTACTCTAAGTGAGGCCGAACGAATGCCCCCTAGGCTTTTCCGAACAACTCCTTATCGATATGCACAAAAGGCTCGTCTCAGCACAAATAAGACCCTATCGCACTTTTGGCTGCCCTTTGACACCGTGACGATGGTCTATGGGACGAGGTCATCGGGACGCCAAAGTCTTTCTGTTCCTCACCTTTTGAAAGAGGGTTCGCAGTAAGGATGTGTTGAAAGGAATCATCCTCCTTGCTGGTCCTTCAGGTGCAGAGTATCAGGACCACACACTTTTCCACACTAAAATTGGGGAGTCAACGAGGAGACCAGCTGCCAAGGTGGTTGGAACATTCTTGAAACGCGTGTCTATCTGCATACGATCCAATGGCTATCCACAACTTAACATCGTCAGCAAACATGACGATGCTCTATCCACGGTTTGTGATCTCCCCATAAGAAAATGTGCTGTGTATGTCAGCAACTTTTCCCCTTATTCCAAATTCAGACAATTTATAGACTAAATGCTTGTGTGGGATGCTGTTGAACGCCTTCCTGGAATTCGCGTAGATGAAATCGACCATTCCATCATCCTCCAGTGAGCGAGTCCATTGCTCGGTTGAGAGTTGTAACCTGGAAAGGCGTGGGCGGTTCTGTCTGAAACCGTGCTGGAGTTCTGATGGGAAGTGATTCTTTTCCAGGAAATCCATTGTTGATTTCTTAAGTGTGGCTTTCATTTTTTTACGGCAAATTCAAGCGATACTGAAGAGCCGGTAATTGTTATTAATAGTGCAAGCCCCACCCTTGTATATTAAGTAGGTATTTGCTGTCTTCCATTCGGATGGCAGTCTCCCCAATTCGGATGACGAATGTAAGATGTATGCTAGGGGCTTAGAGAGTTCGTTCGCCAATTCTTTGAGAAATTTGGCCGGTATATTGTCCGGCCTTGATGACTTTGTTCTTTGAGATTCTGTAGCTCTCTTGCCACGAAAAGCGCTGGGAATAATACGGATTCAAGTACGGGACCAGTGGTCACGACCCCATTGCTGAAATTGTGGCCCTAAAACTACGACACCCCAGCGAATCCTGACGCAATGAACCGTTCCAAACCTCCGACGCTCTCGCCATCTTCAACGATTTACACACCATTATTATCACTCAGCACTGCGATTGGATCCCTTGTTTTAGTCGACTGTTTATATTGTGAGCTAAAGTGTTCAGCTTTTGTTCAGCATGCTGGATAATTCTGGATTCATAGTCCTCCCTTCCCTGACGCATGCATTTTGACTGTAGGACGATACTCTTCGGGGTGTGCTGGCGACCCAGCTTCCCTGAATATCTGCCTTCTTTTACTTTTCTATCTTTACTGTCTCTTCAGTTCTCTAATTAACTAGGCAGGGCGACGTGTCTTTTTTGCATCTCCTCTTGATAACAGCGCCGAATTACATCGATTGAAATCGTCTTAAACGATCTCCAGTCGCCCTCCGGATCTCACTTTGGCAAACAGTCCCAATTTACGGACATCGATTGATCCTTCGTCATGTTAAGATCTGCCCTCCATGTACCAGATTAGTCTTACGTTCTCTTCTGGTGTTGAGAGAAGCGCAAGTTGTCCCACAGCAACGTAATGTGGTCACTCTTGACGAGAGGTGCTCTGGAACACACTTCGTTAATGTTAAGTAAGTCTTTCCTAAAAAGTGGGCCCAAACGATTGCCTCTCTGGTTCTCTCTGAACCTCGTTGGTCTTTTTTCATTCTGGGCCACAGGGAAGTCGAGCGTGAGGTACATTAGCTTACGACTAAAGGAAGTTAGCGCGACGTCCACTGTCAGACTTGTTCACTCTATTGCAGGTACGTTGAAACCCTCGGCAATAGAGCCTCGTTGTGACTAGCTACTTATTTGACCAAATTTAGAACGACTCATCAGATGCGCTCGGAACATCTAAGGGTCTGTAAACCGTCAGGAATTCTGGGTTTTTGCATTACACTTCATTATCTTTACTCAGACAGATTCATATTCAAAGGGGATGGTGTGGGCTCA